AATATTTTAAGTTTACATCACTTAAGTTGTCTTGTCGTTGCTGTTGTTGTCAAATAACATCATGTGATACTTTATCTTTATCTTTATTATTATATTTTAAATAGCGAAATTCTCTAGCTTTGAGTCTGCTCATGAAACTAACATTACGTCATGTTCTTCTTTTGATATGTCATACGATGTCTGTTTCGACTTCATAATTAGTCTGCAAGCAAGAAAAACAACAATATCATATAATTTACATATGCTTTCTCAATTGTTAATTGCCATAATAAATATCACAATAATATGTTTATACTACTAGTTTTACCTTTGTCTTAATTTCTGTATTCGATATTCATACAATTTGATGGTACTTGTGGCCTCATCGTTTTCCCGAATAGTCAAAGCAAGCGCAGCCCTGTGGTAGTTAATGACCTCCATTCTTTCATTGCGTGCCTATATTAATAGAATAGTTAGTGATACTTTATAATGTGATTGATATATGTAAAAAGTATGTATTCTTGTTCAATATTTGACGAATACATCAATCGACAATATAGTCACTGTAGTACGTGATGTACGAATAATGTACACATGTTTATTATGGTGGAATAATACAGTTAGGTTATCTTGTGCAAATACGAGACAACACTAGACTACAGCATGGTTATTTCGTGAGTATGTAGTAAAAGCGAAAAAAGAAAAAGAAGAAAAAAAGCATGACCCGTCATTATGTACCTCTAGTATGTTCAGTGGTATTTCCACACTCTCTTCTCGTTCCCTGTTGATGCACATGCATAATCTGAGTGAACGTTTCCTCCATAATGCTGGATTGATATCTGGTTTGTTTTTAATAACATAGAGCTTAGGTACAAATACGCAAATCAACACGGCATAACTGCTTGTTGTAAAGCCGAGTGAAAGTGCTTTTGGTCTCATCTGATATCCAGCGGCGAATGAGAAAAACGTTCCAACTGTCACAACCCATATAAGGGCAGAAGCAACAAATGCGAAAAAGATAAATTTTGGTTCGTTGAAATTATCAGTAATATGGCGTGTCCTGAAAGAAACTATTATTCCGAGTCCATTTATAAGAAAATTGTAGGAAAATGCGATAGCAATGGGAGAGAACTCATCATTTTTCATGTCCAGACAATCGACGAGGATGCTGTCTTTCTGTTCAGCAATGGTGGTTTTCATGAGCGACGAGTTGGTCACCATCCATGCCAAACTCACAAGTAATTGTCCAAATACTAAGAACAAAATTAACAACAGTTTCTTGATAAATTGTTTAACCACAAACGCTCCATTTGAATATATATGAGCAGTTAAAAGTAGAAGGGAAAGTAAAGCTGTGATCGGCAGAAACTGGATAATTGCCACACACTGGCAGAATACATCAGATGGAGGTAATAACGGTAACATTGCCATCAGAAACGAACATGAATTTAGTATCAGTATGGTATATAGACAGTGGCCAGCACATGCGCTAACAACTATTTTGCGGTTTCTAAAATGGATGAACACTACAGCGAATACTAACGACAACATTATCCCCAACGCAGCTAAAATGACGAGAATAATCCACACACCAGGTAGTGATGTTATGTATGTGCGGGGCAAATTAAAACAACCACTGCCATCTGGTAAGTTATTTTGTTCAGGACCACATGCTTCACAAGTTAGAGCGTTCTCCATAGCACTATACTGAAAGGACGGACAGTCGTAACAATCCCAGCAACATGGCGTATTTTCCCTAGGAATTTTCCTTTTTCCTGGGCGACAATTCTTACTACAATAAGACTCTGGAATGGTTACATCTTTGTTAAACATTTCCGATTGATTGTTATTCCAGTATATGTTACTTTGATTAATATACATCCGGTCATTGGTGTAGCTTCTCCAACTACCAATAACATCGAAATCAAAATCATTCAACAATGTCGGTTTAAGGTTTTTTATATCATACCACGCCTGTGGGTTAGTTGCGTTTCCGAGAAACACGAATGTTCTCGACATACTTTGGAATTCTACTTCTTGTAGCTGTTGAAGAAATGTATCGCCTCGTACATTTTTAATAAACTCCGAGCAATGCTTTGATTGTGACATACAGCTATTTTCGACGGCGTGAGCAACAGCTTCGACGGCATCGCTAATAGAAGACAATCGACTTCTATCTGTCAGAAATCCATTATCAGATGTAACTTTCTCGCGGCCAGTACAACACTTGAGGTTAGGCGTTGATTGTTGACAGGCAAACGTGCAGTTAAACGTATACTCCCAGAATTCCATGAAGAACGGATCTTCATATCGCTGTAAAGGACTCAAAGACTGCAGGAAGTGCACGAGATCAGGGATATCACGTGAATGAGGTGAAAATCCAATCATTCCTTTGACGTAGGTTAGATAAGGAGAGTGCCGCAACTCTGGAAGATCAGACCATGCATCTGAGCCAATCCACGTGTAACCGATCATATCGTAATTCTCGCGGTATAATGTGTCAAATAAGTGTAGGACTACGGAATCCAAGGCAAACACAACCACGACTTTCACTTCTGTGAAATCCCTATAAAATAAAGTGTGAACTTTTTGCAGTGGTAAAATTGAGGCAACTCAATATTTGCGTTGGATATATCTTTGCATATATTTAAATATATGATTTTAAGCATTTTTGAGTGTAGACATTTTATCCATAACCGAAATAAGTGTGTTGAGCTACAAAAAGCATACATTTTAAAGTTCAGTGTAAATTTGCATTGAATAACAGCATGCAAGAAGAATAATCATATATTCAAGTTTTATTATAAAAAATAACACAGTTTATGACATTTTCTTCTATGTATCCTCTTCGCAGAACAAAGCATTTAGTTTAAATATACATTTACCTTAAAGTGTCGTATATCTTGAAAATATCATCTTTTGTACTCCTATCTCCAATTTTATTTTTATAAGCAATGCATATATTCCTTGCTGCTGCCTCCCGCTCAAATATTAATATTCCATCTAATCCATAAGTAGGATCATCGCCATATAGCGCCGCCACCGTCTGCCACCCAAAATACTTGATGAAGTCTGCCATCGCAGCTGCCAGTTGACCATCAGGTGGGACAGTGCGCATGAAATATCTACAGAACATTGATTTTATTTTTAATTGCATTCAGCAAAATAAACATTTTGTTTTGCATTGTATCCTGGTTTCATCTATAACTTCGTCATCAGTGATATCAGTCCAAATTTCAAATGTAATACGAAAACCCAAACATTATATGGTTTACTTGGGCTAAAGTATTTATTGAGTAGATATGTGATTCACATTTGATATTAACAACAACTGAACTTGTATTTATCGTCATCAAAGCATCATACAAGACAGGCGTGAATGTATATTGGTCTCTGATATTCTGTATTATTGGTTTGACAATGTGTGAATATAATTGAATATATACTAACATGAAAATAATGAAAGAAGATCGACGGGAAATTAACAACAACAGTTATCGATAACAAGATATTCATATAAACAGACAAATAAAACGAATATATTAGTTTACCCGAATCTGGGATTGCTCAGCAGTTGACTTGTCGATGCATAGCTGATCTGTGTTATGTTAAATAATCCCAATAATGACGCTACTGATTTAGATGCCGTGCTTGTTCTTGGGCCAATCACAGTAATAGGCTTCTCTAGGAAAGTCTTATTCTCACTACATATATAAAATATTAAATAGTATTTATGGTAAAAACCAGTGTTAGTTCATTACATGATATACTAGTATTCAATTGAAATATTGCTTAGTGAATGTATTTATTTTTGGAATTGTTTTAGGTTATTATAAAAGAAAACACACAATCCAAATGTATGTGATGTTTATTCAATAAATATGGTTAATTTACTCGTGCAGTAGAGCATATCTGAAAATACAGAGGAAAGTTATAGCCTACATCCAACATTATTTGAAGAATTGTAATCTTTGTGTTGTTTAAATATGAACATTGGATCACGTGATGTATGTGATATCTCACCTGCCACACTCCTGGTTTTCTGTATGTTTACCAGGGTTAATGAAAAACAACGATTCCTGGACAGCAATATTGGGATCTGCGCATGCGTCGTGGATGTCGTAACCTTAGAAGAAGAAATCCGTTACCGTTAATAGTGATCATTATTGCATGAATATGAAATCGCTCGCCATTTCATTTAGATTTAGTGTTACTAACTTATAATAATTCTGATGAATTGTGGTCAACAGTTAGCAATAACTTTATTATCATTTTAGTAACTGAAATAGAAGTAGATTAGACATAATGCAATTACGAGTTTCTGTAATTGTTGTGAGAATCTTTTGGGAAAGTATTACAAAATACACAAACCACCGTTTGATGCAGAGATCGCATTACGGCCCTGTCTTGCAATTCCAAACATAAATATGTTGTTTTTGTCAAATTTTAACCCGTGTTAGTTTAGCACTTGTACATGCAATACAAAACTCCGCAGACAACACAACACAATTTAGATATTTTCGTGCATACTTGAAAATTATATACACACTCAGTGTTGTTTGTAACAATATGTACGCCCTCTTCTTACCAATTACACATGGTGTATTCAGTTATTCCTAAAAAGAATTATCAAATCTACAAGTTGAAACCAAAGTCTACAAGAAAACATTTTGTTGTAGTGTCATGATATTGAAGAATATTCACCGCTATAAGACTAAGAAACAACGCTGTTCTGTGTAATGTGTTGAACGTGAACTTCACAGAACATATAAAGCGAGCTGTGTGAACGTAAACTGCTAAGTGCATAGTAAAACACTTCAAGTAATTGACTGAGTACTGGACGTGGTGATGTTTAATGTGGACTACTGTATAAGCAAAGACATGTACGTCAAATGGTTGACATTCTTGACATCCTTGGGTAGATGAAATGTGAATGTTAATTCGATTGTTAAAGTTCATGACGCATTTGTATAACAGGGTTATTACAATCAATCGTGCATGTATTCTGCCGTAAATCATCCAATTATGTTCGCATGTTTCAAGTTAACAAGCACGATTGATTTATATACAATAGCGAGATTCTTAGGTGTTTTAACCCTTTGCGCCTTCATTGTAAAGAAAAATCAGATATAAAAATATGGTAACAATTTAAGTGAATTGCGGTATTATTTGCATTCAGAGCTCAATCATAAAGCTCCATTTGGGCCATGTGACTATTATTTAAATTATTCAATTGTTTGAAATTGTGTTAATTGCTAGAACATTTTCACTTTTTTAAATGGTTTTCAAGTTAGTCCAAAAATTGGCGATTAGATTTGACACTATGGTTAAATTACTGCTGATACAAATATCGCCACCGAATCACTTTTCGTTGATTTGTAGTGACTAATTTGAAAGATATATTGTAGATTAATACATGTGTTCACACCTCAATGACGTCAGACACAGTGGCTGACGCAGGATATCAGTTTTTTTAGGAAGAGGTAACAGGAAATCACATTCTCGTTTACTTAAATTTATCGTAAGAACTTAGCGCCTGGGGACATCATAGAATCTACATCATATACTCTATTACCGATTATGTGTTCTTATTTTATTTGTGGATTTTAAAATATCACGAATGGTTATTTTTTGTATGTTTGGTTATTTTTTATTCGAGTGAATGATTCATTGAATTATTTAGGTTTGGATATTTAAATTTGGGTGGTAATTGACTGACTAAAGTGTCTAAAATATTTATATTTAAAGCTGACTGTACTAAAATTAGTGACATGATTATAATCATCTGTGTTCCAGGTTCATTATATATAGTAAAGATGTAAAGTTAATGATTGATATCTACCTATTTTTGATCAAATGGTGACCTTAAGTGACCTTGCTATTATTGCATTGTTGGGGACACACTAGCTTACTATATGCGTGTTGTAAATACAACCAAGCCATGGTTTGAACATGACTATCATGTTGAAACCTTATTTTAGATTTTAATTGACTGAAATCCAGCTGAACGCTATCACAATATGAAATCGCAAATAATGAGAGAAAATTGTCTAGAGATATGTACCGCGTAATAAACCGACACACAAACCAATGATGTAATTGCGGATTACGAACATATATAAACACACATAGAAGAGTCAAACTCACGAAAAGAAAGCACGTTGCCACTGTAAGCAAGACACACACCTCAGTACGTCACATCACTGTGCTAAGTATGTCGGCATAGCATATTAACATAGAGCCATAGAACCAAGTCTTTCTAATGCATTCACGTGTCCGTAATATTACGTTATATATCTTATTTTATTGTTTGTTGATATCCCAAAGAAAATTAGATTGCAATAAAAATATTATTATTATTATGACATGTAATCATTAAATCAGTGTTTTAAATTTAAAAAAGCTTTACAAATTAAAGACTATAGCACTGACTACGTATCTAGGGGGGTAGTCACATATTGCGTATTTTGCTGGGTAGTCCTATTGATT